TTGATAGCCACTTTCAAAACATTCGCAAAATAGTGCGAACTCGAGTTAGTATAGTTTGTCCGTGTATATTTTAAACTAGTAGTTGTTAGATTTTCAAATAAAGCATCTTTATTGTATTCTGTCTCGCCAGCCTCGGAATCCGCAATTTCGGGCCTGGAAGTGACGAGCTTCGCTTTCTGCAAATAGTTTTGAAATTGCAAGTTCGGCGAGTTGCAAAACTGGCGTGCAACACTTATTATATCTACTTACTTATTTAACAACTTAGCATAAAACTAGTTCAATTAAATCTTGATTTGCCATGTACAGATGTTTCTTTCCCTTCGATTGGGTTAGTATTGAGTTGGTATTAGGTTGGATTGAGTTAGTAGTGGGTTGGCTTGAGCTAGTAGTGGGTTGGCTTGAGTTGGTATTGGATTGGCTTGAGTTAGTATTTAATTAGTATCTTGTATTGTGCTGTTCTAAGGTTGAAGTGGGTCTATTTTAAAGATAATGTGCTAATCATAGATCATATTTGTGGACTGAAAGGATATATACTTTAGAAAAAAGAGAGATATGAGGGTACCTTTTGAATTTATAGGAGTTGGTTTGGCTTGGTTATGGGGCTGGATGGGTGGAATGGCCGATGCGGCTGATCTGGATACGACAAATTGGCTGGACCATTGCATTAGAGATGATTATGGGATTTGGGCTAGTGAGTATGCACTTACTTATTATAGTAGTCCGGATTGTCTAAAACTCGATCCTAATGATAAGTTGAGTCTTAATAGTGAAGGGGGCCGAATACCCAAGAAATGGATACAGTACTGGCGAAATGTGCTGGAGAGAGGTGCTCAGAACTTTTCTAATAACCACCAACTTATGGCAATGTTAAACCATTGCCATCAGGTTACTAATCCCGTGCTTCCACCCTGTCCTTTTGATCTTGAAAAGGACTCACTTCCACTAGCACTGGCAGCAAGTGTTAAGCATCTTAAGGTTCCCCGAGATCTGATTCGCAATTATTCAATGCGGCTTAAGGCTATAACAGAAAGTACTACGGAGGGTAATATTAAGTCTTTATTTGAAACAGCGAATAGTGACGAGTTTGGGTACTTGTTTAAAATATCGATAGACGATCTTAATGTCATGCTTAATGACTTGCTTTTCATTAACAGTTTCCTGTGTAACTTTGGCGATTTGAATGAGGGTGAGATTATGAAGAAAGTTACTATCTGGAAGAGTATTATAGACAAACAAGGCAGTCCGGCGGCAACTAAAGAAACTCTTTGTGCTGAGAACCAGCTTCGGCATTTCTTGTATAGTGTGCTAAGATGCCAGTTGTTTGCCTCTAATTATTTAGATCTGCCTAATACGTCTATTGGTCACTTTAGTAACTTCCAAATCAGTGGTGAGCAAAAGCAAGTGATCGGCTCTTTGTTGGACTTAAAGGTTTATGATCTTATCAAGAACAAACCGATCGAAGCGGCAGTAGGGAAAATATATCAAGTTTTAAAGGATGCCAACGAGTTGGATTGGTGGACTGTCTGGGACGATAAAGTAGCTAGTTTAAAAGACATACTATTTACGCTCAGGAACGTTGTAAAGTTTCCTGGTTATACTGCTGTTACGGTTGGAGACACAAAGCAATGGGCAGATACTTTGGATGTGATGGTAGCTTATATCGACTATATATTAGACAGTGTCGCCCAATTAAAGACTAAACTCACTCCATCTTTTACCGCAAGCCCCGATACTTCAGCTAGTATTCATGATTGTGTAGATTATTTAGTCGCCACTCCAAACCCAAATATTCCTACTTTCAACCACATCAAGACTATCAGCCAGACCGGCAACAGCCCCGAATCCGAGCTAAACACAAAGGCTAGTCGGAACATTCAGAATGAAGAAGCCTCTGCCCCAAAGTCATCTCTAACCCCTTACAAGTCTAGCGAAAAAGCCAAGTCCCGTTCCTCACGCCGGCGGCACAATAAGAGCGATGAAACCACCAACCCTGCATAATACCAACCCAACCCTGCATAATACTAACCTAACTCCACCCCAACACAAAACCAACGTGTAAGTCTTGGTCTATTAACCATTGGGGCCTTGGCCTACTGAGCATACTTACAACGATATCAATAAATCGACCTATTCCCACTCTATATTGGTTGTTATTTGCGCATTGACGGACTGAAGAGCACTTTTGGCACTATAAATCGTATTCTACTACCACGGGGTCGCATAATTATTGGGCTTTAAGGGGTATTTGTAAGTTATAATACTTGGATGGTGCAAAGATACTAATCCCAAGCCAATGATATCCCAAATTTTATGAAGAGACTCAAAGAGATGCTCTATCAAGAATCCTTTTGGCAGCCGCCAAAGCCAAAGCCCAAAAACCAGTTATCCATCTTCAGTGGCACCCAACTAGACCAGCATGCAGCCCAATCATACTTTATTCAAAGCACACATCGCAAGAAACTCGCCGATTCACCACACTCTACCAAGCCTACAACAACTACAGCCACCAAAGCCCCCAAACCCATTCTAAACCAGCCTAATACCACCTCAGTTGTTTCATTAGATGTATATAAGTCCGAAATCATCCGCAATCTACGTGAAAATCAAGCAGTGGTAATCCAGGGCGGAACTGGCACCGGTAAAACGACCCAGATTCCCAAAATGCTAGTGGATTCCCTCCAATGCCCGGGGATAATTGGCTGTACTCAGCCCCGGCGGATTGCAGCAGTTTCAATTACTGCCCGAATGGAAAGCGAGCTGGGATTAGCAAAGGTAGGCTACGCCGTGCGTTTCGCTGAGAAGAAAGGCAAGAGTATCAAGTACATGACCGAAGGTATTCTCCTACGCGAGATCCAAACAGACCCTTCTTTATCTAAGTATTCAGTCATTATTGTTGATGAAGTACACGAGAAGAGTGTTGAGTCTCTTCTGCTCATTAAGTACATAACTCGCTTGATTAGAAAGCGCTCTGATCTATATTTAGTGCTTATGAGCGCCACAGTCGAACCGAGTATTTTGAGCGAAACAGGCGCCTTTCCTATTGTTCAGATTAATAGCCAAAGCCATCATGTTCAGCTTGAATACCTCCCAGCTATCCCAGCCGACTATATCCAGGCTACAATCAACAAGGTTTTAGACATAGCTGAATCAGCTACTGGCCATATTCTAGTCTTCCTAACTGGAGTTGAGGACATTCGTCTTGCTTTTCAGCTACTACAGCCCCAGCTCAAAAGTCTCTCTCAACCTATTGATCTCTTCATGCTGCATGCCAAGATAGCACTGCCCAAGCAAATGCAGGCACTCCAAAGCACCGGTCTCAAATGCATTCTTAGTACAAACATTGCTGAAACCTCTTTAACTATTCCCAACGTTAAGTATGTTATTGACTGTGGCCTTTACAAGGAGACAATCTATTGCCCTACGACCGGTGTGCAACGAATGGTTACTGCTCCCATTCAAAAGCCACTTGCTGAACAAAGAGCAGGTCGGACCGGTCGGACTACTCCCGGTATCTGCTTTCGTATGTACACCCAAGCCGCCTACAACTCACTCCATCCCAATACAATCAGTCGGCTGGATTGTGAGAACATTGAGTACTTTGTTCTTAAGTCCATCGAGCTAAACATTCCTTTCCCAATTAGAGAACGTGAACAAGCCACCATTGCCAAATTAACAACCCAAGGCATTCTTTCTCACCACCAACTAACTCCATTGGGCCAACAAGTCCTCTCTTTGCCACTCTCAGTTGAACATGCCCTCTTTCTGATAGAGGCGCGACAGCAGGGATGTGGCTGGGAGGCAGCTGTTATTTTAGCCATGATTGATCTCTTTTCCGAACGTCTAGCCGAACTTATCCAGCACACTCAGAAGAACAAGCTCAAGAACACAATCCAGCCGCTATCTACAACCAGCGACCACCTAGTTCTTCTAGAAATCTACCAACTAATGGCCAACCAGCACATCAAACCACTGCCTCAACTAGACAAAGTCCAAAAGATCATCAAACAACTCTGCCGGACCATGCACATACCCAACCAACCCTCTACCACCTACTCCAGCCAGCTTCTTTTAGCCGCCTTATCTACCTCTCATGCCTTTAATCAAGCCAAACGACTAGCAACCACATGCACCTCTACCGCAACTACCAAATCACACGCCATCTCCTATACTTACCAAAACATCCAAACCAACACCCAATTCCAGCTCACTAAAGACTCGATCTTGACCCAAGCAGGCACACCGCCTCTCTTTATTATATACAATCATCTGGTTCAAACAACCCAAATCAGAGCTTCAATCGCCTCGGCCATTAACCCAGCCCAGATCGGCCACACTAACAACTAAACAGCCCTCGGCCCAATACGTCTTCTTATGGATATTTATTGGAGTAAGACTAGTATTTCATCTCTACCCGCATTAAGACTCAAGCCTGTCGCAACAGTAGAGTTATTAGGCCAATAGTTACTAGAGAAAGGGTGTACGTTATAGTAACAAATGCTTTGTGGTTGTCTGTAAAGGAAAAGACGTATTCATATCGCAGCCAAGGATCTGCGCCCACCAGGCAAAGAAGAGCCAGCACAGCAAGCAGCCCAAGAACTGGCATCCGGGTAAAGGTCATGTCATCAGACTTAGGCAGGATGTAGTAGAGAAGGCCAACTCCTATCAACAAAATAAACTGGAAACAGACTCTAATAGGCCGCTCTTTAATCTTACCGTAAACACCCCCGCGCGTGTAACCTACTTGTTGAAGAATAGCCACATACGAGCCAATGGCCGAAGTAAAAATCAGCAAGATAGCCAGTACCAGCTTAGTCTTGAACTCAAGCTCTTGACAGTCTAACATGCACGGTTTATCGCTCAAAGACAAGGCCAGATCAGCAAAGTAGAAGACACAAACCTTAACAAAGAACCAGCCCAGAAAAGAGTTAACCCAAGGCACTATCTTGTATGATAGGAACGAGAAGTTTCGGTTGATAAAAATGAACTTGAGCTGCTCAATGCGATTTAGCTTGGATGTTTTGACTTGCTTGGTGATAGTGCGGTCTTTTCTGATTCGCGCGCGGACTCGTCTAATCTCCTTAATGTGCTGGTATATACATTGATTCAGCCGCTTCTTTTGCGCAGTGAACTGCCGTTTGTTGTGGGCATGAAACAGTTCGTAATACAGGAAGAGCAGATCGTTCGGGCCATAGCCATAGATATAGTACGAGTCGTAGGACAGGTCTACAAAGTGCCCAGAAATGCTTTTGGCCAAAATCAGATCAGATTTCCTGAACTGCTCTCCACGCCGCCGCTTTTTCTCAATCAGATGCAACAGTCCTTTGATCTCTTCGTACAAGTCTTTGTTCTTCATGTAGTTGCGCATGTACTCCAAGGTGTGCAGCCGATTGCCCGGGATCTTGTCTGGGACGTTATCTTCAATGAGTTTTTCAAGGCAGGCCAACTGATAGAGCGCGTTCTTTGTATTCCGATGGAACTCCCAAACCTTCTCTAAAATCCGGGTGTAGCTGTACAGCTGCCGCCGATTCGTCTGGATCTCTAAGTTGTAGACGTTTTTGTACAGGGTGAAGCGATTGGACACGCTGGCATGTATGATATCAAGCAGAATATCTATCCCAGCTCGTGGCGATAAAGTATTATTGACCATGCGCTCTAGAAACTGTGCAATCGATAGGCGCGGGCTAAGCAGTTCGTGGCCAAAAACTGTTTCTTTGATCCGGTGGGCCTCTTCGTCCGTTGTGCCGTTTATAGCCACAATGTTACGAATGTTGATTTGGCGAGCAATGTAGTGGTAAGCCAGGGATACCTTGTTGATACTCAGATCGCCATCACTATTCTTAAGAATTGTTTTGATCTTATCTAGCATATCCGATTTATGGCGGTTGTTGAATTTCTCCCACTCTCCAATCTGGACTTCAATGTATTCTAAGGCCATTGTGTAATGTATTTACTCTAAATTTTTGTTTGGGGGCACTATCAATAATTGTTGTTTTGTTTGGGCTAATTGTCTGGCGTTTATTATCTGTGTGTTGTGTATAACACGTGTGATAAGATCGAATCTTTGTTGGTCTTTTCTTCCACCTTATCTTTATCTAGGTGTCAAGATACAGTAAACAAACAGATAGCACAGGTCAAATAAGTAGACTGATTATCACGATTCCTTGTCTTCTTGGCCTAAAATACTAGAAAGATAGAACTGCTTGTACATCAGCCGGGCCAAGTGCCGGTACCGCTGATTAACCTGCCGCGTAACTTTGAAAATCCGCCACTTCTCAACCGGAACCTTCTCTCGCGTCCGAGCGTTGTAGAGCAAATAACTATGTGTCTTCCCAATCGGTTCAACCACCCAATACAAATCTTCGTCTAAAACAAACCGATCTGGATGAACACCTCGTCCTATCAAACTCGCCCGCGTGGGATTTTCCATCTTACCCCGACACTCTGCCAGCAGCTCATCATAGCTCTTTGTAGTCACTAGGCGCTTGCCCTGCTGCCGTTCTTCAGTCGTTAGAAAGGCCGAAGATGGAGCAATGTATACAAAAGAACCAGAGTACCGCCTGGCATCCCTATTTGCAGCCATGGCCGGGTGACGAAGTTCAGTACGTTCATGGTACGGTTTCTCTGGATTGTAAAGAACGGCCAGATTAAGTGCGTCCTTATCCGAACGCAGTTCTTGTTCCAGTTCCCGATCAGTTTTAAGATCCATTGTTCGCTTAATAACCACCGGCTCTGACTCTTCTTCATCTAACTGTTCCGGAGTAGACTGATTGCTGCTAGTAGAACACTTACTGTCTTCTGTCTCGGCCGATTTACTCGCAGCAATTTGAGCCCTTAGCTGCTCACGTGCTATTTCCATCTCTTGTTCTTCCGGTGTTTTAACCACGGGCATACTAGCCAACTTAGCTAGCATGACGCGCTTAGGAACCCTATTTCTCGGCAGAAGTGATTTAGGAATTGGCACAGTAATATTAAACTCCCGGGCAATGCGCAGGTTTTCCTCCCGCCGTTGTGCCTCCTCATCCTTACTAGGTGCATATTCAGGTAGAAGAGAGAGTAAAGAGGGCAAGTTCAAATCCGGAAGCTTATAAGTCTTCCAATACTGACTGCCACTTCCTTTCTTAGTTGTTCGCACTGGCCGACGAAAGAATACATCAGCTGAAACTCGGCCTGAACGTACGGTAGTATCTTCATTATAGAAACCAAAGTTCCGAAACTTAATGGCTTCTTCAATAGCTTCGTCCAGTTCATGGGGCTGCTTATCTTGGAATTTAGAAAGAATAGTCCGTTTAAGATACCGTGGTTGCTCGGTTATATCAAAGACAAAATGGTCCGGATCGTCCTTATAGTATACAATCTGAATATCACGTTGGTAGCAGTAATCATGTAAGACTTGAGTTTGCACTTTAGGATCCAAAATCTTAATAATCTCAGGGAAGCCAAAGTATCGTGTCCAGCCATCCAAAAACTCACAGACCTTATCAATGTCAAAGAAAGGCAAGACTTTATGCAATACGTACTTTGAGTAGTTATCTTGTATACACAGTAAAACTCCACCTTTACCCGGCAGTAGGTCAGCTAAACTAATCGTAAAGATAGAAATAGCAAACCAAGGTTCACGCACAATCTTCACTAGTTCATCGTACCTCTTCTTGGATGACCTACATGAATAAACTGCCCGACATTCCAAGCACATCGTAACCCAAGCTCGCGGCATACTCATATCCACACCATAGTATTTACTCCGAATGCGACGGGCCATTTCCATACTAGGTATATGTTGGTCACCATGGGCTTCAGCTAGAATATCATTAATACGTTCTCGATCTTCTCCATTGATAATTTCTAAATGCTCGCCCTCTTTCGTCTGACAGAAGAGCTTATCATTCTGAACATATAACTTGGCAAACCGATTAATAGCATTGTGTAATTTATATCGATCGGCCGACGGCGGAAAACACTTATGTATAGCGTATACCTTTAAATTTTCAATATCTTCGGATTTAAAGATTAGATTTGGTCTATCTTTTTGTTTATATCCTCTACTATCTATGTTTGCAGTGTTTAACTCCATGTATCTCGTAAATTTTTCCGATGGACAAGAGTACGTATGGCCAACTTAGTGCTGGAAACCCTAGCTCTCGTCATAGTAACATTTATATTCACACTATCTTGACCGAACTTAAAAGACACCCAAATCCGGTTTCATTTAAAGAAATCGAAGACTTAACTGGGATAAGTATAGAAAGAACGGCCGGATTATTAGATTTACTGGAAAAGAATCAAAAAGTAGTACGTGTAGATAAGACTTTACAATTTATTCCAACTTATACGATCAAGCACGAAAGTGAACTTCTTGATCTTCTTAAAAAGACGAACTCAGCCCACGGTATCTCTTTAGATGAAATTCTAGAAGCCAGTAGTACAACTTTACCCCTAGTTGAATCTTTAGTCCAGAAAGGCCAAGCTATTCTCTTACGTGATATTGATGGTTCAGCTACTCTCTTTTACAACTCTTTACCTCTTAAACCTGCCTCACCAGCTGTTATTAAGCTATATGAGGAAGTATCTGTTCCTGAATCACGTGAACTAGCCCGTGAGCTTTCTAATGCCGGTTTAGCTACTAAAGTTATTGAGAAACCTATTCGTAAGACTATGTCCCAGCAAAGGAAGAAGAGATACGTTCGTAAGATCAAAATCACTAATACTCATCTTAATAATGCCGAATTAGGTATGTAAACTGAATTTTGCCTTATTGGGAAATAAACGACTACTATTAAGATTCGGGCCAAAGACTAAGTTAATAACAAGAGAGATAAATCTAATCTGAGCTTAATCTAGACCAACCTAACCCACCCCTGGCCTAATAAACACGCTTATTTTTATTTGCTTGCACATGTCTGTCACAGACCAACTCTACAAACTTATCGATGAACAGATGAAAAGACTGGAAAGACGAGATAAAAGACAGGCGGACAAAGACGAAGTAATCTTACAGGCTTATTTAGATAAAGAAAGTGCACAGAAGAGTGCAAAGGATGAAGAAGAGTTACGAAGAGTTAGAAGAAGATTGGGTGGAGATAGGGCATTTCGTGGGTGTACGGAAGAGGAGGCTGAGGAAGACTTACTGGAAATCTTTGAAGGCGAGAAGGCGGATAAGTATGTTCATGTTCTGCCCGATGGTCAAGCTATGGTTGTACTGAAAAAGATCAAGATTGTGGAGGGTGATGTTATTCGCATTGAAAAAGGAGAGGCGTATGAAGTAGGTGTAGTTAGATCGTTGCATAAAGGTGTGTTAGTGCTAGAGAGTCGAGAAAGAGAGAAGAAGTATTCTTTGAGTAAGTTGTTATCTTCAAGATATGTAATTGTGAAGCAAAATCCCGGGAAGACTAAGCAGCACTAGTTAGGGTAGGATTGGGTGGATAGACCAAACGCTTAGCTCAAAACCAACCTTAACTTGAACCGAGCCCAATCGGTCTTTGGCCGCAACCAAACCAAATCACAACGTAGAACTAGTCATTAAACTGGTGCTAGAATAAACTTAAATTGGGTTATTAGTAGTATTATATTGAATTGAGTTGGGTTGGGTTTAGTATTTAGTTTAGTTTAGACTAGTATTTAGTTGAGTTGGATTGGATTGGATTGAGTTGGGTTAGTATTAAGTTTAGATTAGATTAGATTAGTATTGGATTGGATTGGATTGAGTTAGTATTGAGTTAAGTTGAGTTTAGTATTAAGTTGAGTTTAGTATTGGGTTGAGTTTAGATTAGTATCAAGTTGATAGTGGTGGATACATAATGTAATGATGAGTTGATAGACGGGTGGTTATAAGTAAACACATTTATTGGGTTGAGTTGGTGGTTGAGTTGGATTGGGCGGGGGAGGATGTGGATCCTTGGATGGTGAGTTGGTCGAAAAGTGTTTGAATGACTTTCTTGTTGAAGGTGTACCTTTTCTTGAGGAGGTTCTTGCGGATTCTTTCGGCTAGATCAATGGTATAGGCAAAGTTGTATTCTTGATGGATGAAAGCTTGGCGTAGAGTTTCAGTGTCCTTGAGGTCGGTTGTTGGGGCATTAAGAAGTGTGCGAGTGAGAAGTTCGGCTGCCCGGAGATGTAGTTGTTCGAAGGCTAGAACAAGTCGACCGGTGGCTTCTTCTGGAGTGAAGAGGGAGTTTAGTTCTTTCATGGATCGTTGGAGGATTTTGGTTAGTTTATGGGCGACTTGTTCTATACTGTCTTTTCTTAAGATATCTAAATTAATGTGTCTGACCATTTCTTCTTCTACAATACTAGTGGTGACTTGGAAGGCAGTAGCTAGATCGGTTTCTTTTAGAGTTTTTAAGATAGGAGCTGCTTGTTTCCAGCCGCCAATAGCTTGCATAGCTTTGATTTCAGCAGTTAAATCTTGGCCAATCCATGTATCGATACCGGATATCTGTCCTATTTTAAGTAAATACTGATTGTACTTGGCCTTTTCCTTATCTGAATTTTCAGTTGGCTCAGTTGGTGGCACCCAGGGACTGTCTTGTTCTTGGGCTTGATAGATCTCTTTAGCCAGGCGTTTAAGAGAAGTATGTTCTCCAGCAATAACTTCAACGGATAAAGGACCGATACTAATTACTAGAGATCCATTTTCTTCACTAATGTCAGTTTCTTTCAGTAAAAAGGCATTGTAAACCTCTAACTCACCAGATTTAGTCTCAGTAGCCACAATAAGCATCTCTTCAGTTATGTAGATTTTACCACACATACTTTCCTGATCAATACGTAATTCAACTCGTTCTGTGTATTTAAGAGTACGGCTAGTCTTAGCCAAAGACTCACCACCTTTCAATTTAGAGATCTCTTTAATGAACTCTTGACTGCCAGCAGAAGAATTCGTAGTCTTACTAAGTGGCAGAAGTAAGTCCGGGATATCTAAAGCTATCTTTTGGCACCGACTAATTAAATCCACAAATGACTCAATACTTGCACAGACGTCTTCTTTCTGGGCTAAGATATCAGCTGCTAAACTTTCACTTTCTTTAGCTAAAGCCCGAATGTGCGTATCTTGAACTCGAGTACAGTCATTGGGAGACTCCGCCAGAATTCTTTTAAGGTAAGCCGCAGTCGAGAAACCACTACTACCAATTTCATTCATATCAACTTCACCTTTACGAGTACTATTCATACAAACAAATTTCGTTTATTGCATTGTATTGAGTTGAGTTGAGATTGGGTTGAGATTGAGTTAAGATTGGGTTGAGTTGGGGTTTGGTTGAGTTGAGTTAAGTTAGTATTTGGGATAAGTTAAGTTGAGATAAGATGAGATAAGATAAGATAAGATTAAGTTCATAATTAATTGATATGATGTCTTAGTGTCTAGTTTATACTATACGTATGTCCTATGAAATGCCAGTTCATAATACTTCAGTCCAGTCCAGTATATCTAAAGGCCTAGCGATCTAAATCAAGTAACAACATAGTAATAACATAATAATAAGATAAGATAAGACAACAAAATAAGATAATAATAAGATAAGACAACTAAATAAGATAAGATAAAACAACTAAATAAGATAAGATAAGACAACAAAACGAAACAAAACAAGACAACTAAATAATATCTTTTATAATAACTCAATAGATAACTTATCTAAATCGTATCTAGATAGCAACTCAAAGCAAATACTAGTCCAACTAGTCCTATAAGTAAATACTAACTACATCACTAAGTGTAAAAGGCGACCCACAAAAAGGACAAGTTCTTTGTCTGGCTGCATATCGGTCATTGACACAATCTTTACAGATTAAGTGCATACATCGCTTAAGAACTGCATTTTTGATATTAGTAGTACAGACTGAACATCTAACCATTTTTTGATAAAGCTCTATCTCTTTACTGCTATCAGCTGATGAAGATGGCTTAGGCTGTTTCTTAACGAGCTTCTCTTGCAGACGAGTATTAGCACTCTCTAAATCAACAGCAGTCTTCTTAAGCGCTTTCAGCTCAGCCTCTAATTGGGCTGCTTTGCGCTTATGATACTGCGAAGCTGAACTGCGCTCTAAATACTCTAACTTACTTTGTTCTAACTCCGATCTTAATTGCGTACAATCACTACAAGTAGCAGATAAGATTTGATTTTGATTGGTAGATAAGGACTGATTTTGATTAGTAGATAAAGATTGATTGATTTGAGTTAGTGAATGTTTTCTATCATTATTAGCCGTTATAGATTGTAGTTTTAATTTCAACTCATCGTTCTCTTTAGAAGCATCAACATACTTACGCACGAGATAAGCTACTTCTTCTACTCGATCTAATTCTTTGCTTTCTAGTTCTGAAACTCGTTGCTGGCACTCAGTTGTACAAGCAACTCGACTAGTATTCTCTTTTTCCTGGGTACGCGTGTAATCCATCAGTTCACCACTAACTCTTTCCATAGTAGCATAAAGATCAGCAATACGATCAGTAAGTAACTGCATCTTTTCTTTTTCTTGGCCAGAGATAAGATCGGCTGTTTGTTTTTGTTTTTCTAGTTGTTGAATCTGGACTTGTAATTCAGCCAGTTCTTGTTGATGCGCTTCTTTAATTTCAGTTGATCTTAAGATTAATTTTGAAATCTTATCTGATAATTCTTTGTTATTAGCCGTTAATTCAGCCGATTCACTTTCTAATGACTTAACTAAAGCAGTATAATTAGGCGGATGTTTAGCTAAGACTCGATCAATTCTAGCTTCTAGTTGTTCAACTCGATTGATTTCTCTAGTAAGATCTTCAACTGATAGATTACAGTTATCTTGATTTTGATTTTGGTTAGAATTTTGATTGGAATTACAACTACTACAACTAATACCACTACTTATCTTATCTGTATCTTTCTGCTTATCTTGGGCTGATTCCTTATCTTTGGACTGTTGGACTTTATAAAGACGACGTTGTAAGAGACTGATAGTGGTTTTTTGCTCGGAAAATTGTAAGATCTTTTCTTGAATTTGCTTGATAAGATCTTCTGGCTTATCTTTTGTTGTTTCTGATAGTTTTTGATTGATAATTCGCTTGTTCTCCTCTTCTAATAATTGAGCTCTTGTTTTATACTCTTCCATTTGGGCGTATAATACTTCTATTTTACGTTGAAGAATCTTCTGAAGAGTTTCTTCTGTCCACCAGGGGTTTTCCTCTTCGGGAGCGGACTTATATGCTATCTTCTTTAAAGGCATAACTTCAGACTTTCGCTTATCCATTAAAAAAATTGCAATACCATTTAGATTAAGTTTGAGATTTGGGTTGTTATTTGGTTTGTTATAGTAGATAAGATAGTTATTCTGGTTAGGTTGGTGAAAAAAGAGTGTTTGTCTTATCTTTATTTTAATCTTTATCTTATCTTTAGGTATATATAAAGCAAAATAAAATGAAGGAGTTTGAATTGTTATTGATTTTAATGTTAAGATCTCAATGGTTATTTTAGTACACATAGCCAAATTGAGTTTAGTATTGAGTTAAGTTGAGTTAAGTTAGTGATGGTATTATGTTAAGTTGAGTTAGTGATGGTATTGAGTTAGTGATGGTATTATGTTAGTGATAGTATTTAGTTGAGATAGTATTATGTTGAGTTGAGTTAGTGATGGTATGATGTTAAGTTGAGTTAGTTATTGAGTTAGTGATGGTATTATGTTGAGTTAGTGATAGTAATGTTCTGGCTGTAAACCATCTTAGTTGACTTGGTATAGAGTTGGCAGTATATTCCCTTGATATGCTATCTCAACATAACCCAATACTAACCCAATCTCAACTTAACCCAATCTTATCTCAACCCAACCCAATCTTATCTTATCTCAACTTATCTTAACTTAACTGAATATAATCTGAATTAAATGGTAATATGACTCTGGTTTATTCTAAATCTTAACTTGATATAGTATATTAATATAGTATTATTAAGATAGTTATCATCTTGATGAATAGATAAGTTGGGGGCTAGGAATTGGGTTGGGGAGTAGAAGTGGATGAGGTTGAGGTGGTGGAAGTAGAATTAGTGGTAGACCGACGGGTGGGATGTGCTCGCTTAGTAGTACTCGGTTTATACCACGGCCATTTCTTACGGAGGGCTTCAATAGCTGTAGTAGTCAGTAGTTTAGCCAAACGAGTTATCTCTGAAAGTGGGCCATTATAAGCCAGACTAGCTTGATAGATCTTTTGAATATCAGTTTCAAAATGGCTAAGATTAAAGTAGTAGTTATTATAGGTATGTTCCTGAACTGTACTTAGACACATTGGTTCTTTAACAATTGAATAGTACTCAGGATGGACAGTTGCATCTACTCGTTGACTAAAAATACTAAATCTTTGATCACTGATAAGATCTTTGGCTAAAATTTGTAATTGAGCAGCGATAGTAGTTGGTTGTGAAAAAAGACGTAGTAGATCTTTGGCTTCCTGAACCGTCCGACTATGAATATCCTTAGCTACTAGCCAAATATCTGAGTCCTGGGCATTATAAACCATGCAATTTTCAAAAACCTGTAAGATATCAGCTAAAACACACTCAACCATAGTATAAGCTCCCGTACTTAATCCCGCTCTAATACTTCCTAAATCATTCGGCCGTCTTACTATCTCTAAATACTTCATTGGTCGTAAATTCTCCGTATCTACCGGGGCTAAAAAGACCCCATGCTCGTCATAAGCAATCACTTGATTAACATACTTAAGTAAAAGAGCCCGACCTGGCCCACTAGCCGTTTCAGCATCAATCGCCGTAAACTGAACATCTTTCTGTCGCGCACATCCAGCTGCATCCCTTTCAAATCCGGCTAAGAAGTACTTGGCATTGTTATAAGCCGAAGAATCATATCCGGCACTAAGAAAGAGACTCCGACAAGCTTCAACTACCATCTGAACTACTCCTGGCGTACTAATCAGGACATCACGTAAAGAAGGAATAGCTGGACTAGCAATACTAAAGGGAATATCTTCTAGGGTGGGCATGACTCGACCAAGAGCTTGTACTCGTTTAGCTGCCTGGGCAATAGTTGTAGCTGCCTTACCTGTTTTAGCCCGACGAATTAAAGCTTGATCGGCTTCGGCTAAACTTAAATCAAGATAGTGTTCTTTGATAAAATTATCGATAGTATAAAGCTTATCTATATCTACTACAACCGGACTAAGTAAAGACTTAAAAGGTAAACGAACAATCAATGGTCGAGTTAAACGCACTACTAAACGTAAAGTAGGTGGACCTTCTTCTCCACTCATATCATGGGCAGCTGAAGTAGCCTCTACCTCTTCAGCAATCTCAGTCGGACCATCAATCAAAGCTAAGATCTCTTTAAAAAGCTTAGTAGCTGTACTATCATGAGTATTACTCTCAGCCATTTCTGCAATCAGTGGTGAAATCTGCTGGGCTGTTTTCAAAACAGGTAAACCAGCACATCTTAAACTATCCCGGAGTATCTGTAAAACATGCAATCTTATCACTCGAGTCTCCCCAGGTAAAGCCTTAAGTACAGCTTCTAAGACACTAGATGGTCCCAAAAGAATCAAAGCTTCATAAGCAGCTAGTCTGACCTTATGAAAATTACCCGGTTTAGCATAAGTCAGTAATCTTTGAAAATCAAGTTCAACATGACCAGCTACAGCTAGTCTAGCCAGTGCCTTAATAGAAGCACAAGTTACGGCATTTTGATGACTCGGGAAGAGTAAATCTCTTCTCCTTAACTTTTCTATCTCAGCTACAAAAGGAGATACATCTGCGGCCGTATCACTAGCTAAGGCAATAGATAAGGCTGTAATTATATCAGCTAAATAAAAACCATCTTCATAAGGATTGCCCGTATTATCATTATAACGCATTAAGTTAAGTAAAAAGGCCGAAACAATACTCTTAGCCCGAACTGTCCGGCCACTCAAACTCTTTGAAGCATCCAACTGGCATAAAGCCATAGCAGCAGCTACATTCTTCTGTAAAACATAACTCCTTAAATGACTAAACTCATTACCCTTAACAATAGTAGTGTTTTGAATACAATAATTACTGATAAAGTACTGAACAACCCTTTGAAACCCAAAGTAGCCCGTTTCTTCATTAAGGGCCTGAACTAGGACTATACCCGCCCCAATACTAACCCGATAAAATGTCTGGGCTGAATCCATTACTCTTTCTAGTACACCACAAACCGATTCACTCGGATTCTTCTGTAAAGAAGCTAAAGCTTCCATTTGTCCATAAACATCCTTCTCACTAACTAGTTGTTCAGCCGCCATGAAATCAGCTTGTTCTACTACGGCAATCTTCATCCATTCCAGACCCGGATCAGCCCTTACCCAGAGAACGGCTGGAGTTTCATCCGGCTTACGTTTCCGAGGTGTACGAGGTGGTCCTAGATCATGAACAGCCGGAGCAGTACCTAAGGGTAAAGCATGATCTGTAACTGCTTCAGCTTCATAAACACGTAAAGTAATCTTCCCAGATAAGTTGCGTAAAGCTTCAGGATGGACCGAATGCATACGCAATCTTAAAGCCACTGAAAACCCACGCGGACTCTGATCAACTTGTAAGGAAATAGTCGGAATACCCGCATGAAAGACAAAAGCATCAAATAAATGGCGTAAATCCTTACCCGTTGTTGCTCGAATAATTCTGATTAAATCAGCCGTTGTAATAGGTTCTAAATGGGTTAAAGTAGAGTTGGTGTTGGGTTGAGTGGAGTTGGTGTTGGGTTGAGTGGATGTCTCAAGGTGATTAGATGACTCAGGGTGATTGGCAGGTGGTGAGTTTGAGTCGGATAGGTCTAAAGACTCATTGGTAGGTTGTGGTTCTTCTGTCTCTGGTAAGCCTAAACACTTACCAGTAGATAGATTAGAATTAGGTACTAATTGATTATCTTCTGATTGATTAGTTGTGATTATCTCTCGCATAATCTTCTGCATAAAGGCTCGAGTTAAGTTATACTCTAAAGTCCGGATTAAAGTCCCAGATTTACAGATAAAGAAAGAACTACTAAAGGTACTTGTACTTCTTTCTAATGAAGATAAAGGTGCCTCTTCTATATCTGCTTGTGATAAATAAGTTATATTACGATAATGTTCATGACGTAATTCATTACTACCTAAAAACAACTCAGCTAAAGTAGCTGCTAAATACTCTCTAAACCCCACATAAAGCCAAACATCACCAGGAGCAGCTGCAGCTCTAAAGTACTGAGCAGCTACAGCCCTAGTTAAACCACGAACAGAAGACATACACTGATCCAATGCACTTGGGGCCATTATCTGTGATAGATTAAATATACCTAAACCCGGTCCAAAAACATCCTCTATCTCACAACTACTAAAGAACAAGTTCAATTGGGGTACTTTAACATCTAAAGCTACAGCTGCAGCATTCAAAGCCGCCTTAACTATCTCTAAAGCCTCTTTCCGACCAGATCCTAATCTATCTTCTAAGTGCCGCGGCAAAAATAAAGAAGTCCGGCCTAAACTCCCTACGCCTAGTACTCCCCCTGCAAAGAGAACCGATTCAGGTAAGGCCCGAGGTATAAAGTAATGATAAGTCTTAGTTGTTCCCCCATCTGAAATTCCTACTAGACTACCCGAGGAAAGTAAAGTCAAACCAGGCGTAGAAGGAAGAATATAAAGCATATCCGTATCTGGTAAAGCACCAGGTACCCAAGGAAAGAGTGGAAAGGGCCGATTTGTACCAATAAATTCAGCCGAAGGAAAGGGAACAAATAATAAAGATAAGGTAGACGGATCGGCAGTAAAAAGAACTCGAAGACGTGAAGCATAAGCCGGAATAGTTGTAGTTATAATTTGCCATTTGGTAGTGTATGCTTCTGTTTTGAGTAGATTTAGGTTATGAATACTAATGGGATTTGGTATAGGAAGAGGGGAAGGTTTAAGATGGAAAATACTTGTACCAGAGAAAGTAGTAGCGATTGGGTTTATACTAAGAATGTTCTTTTGCCGGATAATACCCATGTCTGAAAAATAATTTGCATCTTTATTGGGATTGTTATTGAATCGTTGCTTGTTGTTTGTTATCTTGATTGAGTAAAGTTTGTTCAACAAGTTTAGCAGTAGATAAGTATTTATCTAAAAGTTTAATAGTACTGGCTTGGGAAGGGTGTGGGATTAAACGAGGAGATTGGCGTAAAAGAGATTGGAGTAAAGAGTTCATAAAAATAAAATCGAGATTAGATTAGATTTAGTATAGAGTTGAGTTGAGTGGGGTTAGGTTTGAGTGGGGTTATGTTAGGGTTTAGTATTGAGTTGGGTTTGGATTGTTTGGGTTTGATTGGGTTTGGTTTGAGTAAAGACTTAGTTTAGTATAGAGTTGAGTTTAGGTGAAGACCTAGTTGGTTTAGTATTAGATTGTATTAAGTTTAGTATTGGGTTTACTATTGAGTTGGATTGGAATTAGTATTGGTTTAGTATAGAGTTGGTTTTTGGGTTGGTATTAGTATAGAGTTAAGTTGAGTTTAATGTTGGATTAAGTGTAGGTGAAGACTTAGTTGGTAGATAGGATAGTTCAAGTAGATAATTATAGAGGGTTGGGTTATGTTTAGAGAATAAGTAAAGACTGGAATGTATTAAGATAAGTAGAGTTGGTGTTAAGTTAGTGTTAAGTTGGGCTGAGTTGGTAGTTTATCTTAAACCAAACTCAAGCTTATCTTAAACGTAACTCAATCTAAACTCAATCTAAACTCAACTCAAGTGTATCTTAAACTCAACTCAAGTGTATCTTAAACTTAACTCAATCTAAACTCAACTCAATCTAAACTTAACTCAAACTAAACTTAAACCCAACTTAAACTTAACTCAAACTAAACTTAACTTAACCAAACCAAACCAAACTAAACTAAACTCAATCTAAACTTAACTCAACATAAACGTAACTAAACCCAACATAAACTCAATCTAAACTTAAACTCAACATAAACGTAACTTAATATCTTTGTTTTTATTTGCTAATAAGTTGTTAATAAGTTGTTATTTGTTGTTATTTGGATGACAGATGATAGGTGGCAGATGTTATTGGATAAATAGAAGGTGAATGGAAGGATCGATGGAAGAAAAGAAGACTTATAGACCAATGGAAGTAAACGCATTTCTAGGAATGTTACTGGGTAGTGCGGTTGTGGTTTGCTTGGTGTACGTGTGGTTGGGGCCGAGCTTGGTAGGCATAAAGGGTTGAAAGGTGCCGGAGGGATGCTTGTTGCTGCTTTTCCTGGGCGGGTGTAAGACCAGTTAGTTGATTAAGCCGAGTAAGTAGTTGGTTGATCTGGGCTAGTAACTGAGTAGGAATAGATCCGGTTAGATTGGGCTGAGGAGTGCGAATGGGATAGACTTGGCTACGAGGAATAGTAAAAGTAAGATTGGTTGGTGGCTGAACAGGTGGAAGTGAAAGATTGCGCGAATGAAGAGGAGTAAGACAGAGACAGTCCTGAGGTGTATTCGGTTGGGCGGGAGTGACCTGGTATGGTAAAAAGGGTTGGGGTGGTAAACGAGCTAGAACAAAATCACCGGGTTGAATTTGCCATTGATTAAGAATCTGCTGTAATCTTTTAGCCTCTTTACCTATAAAAGAGTCTCGGCCGTTATAGCGATAAGCATTATTGATCATTAATTGTAAGTCCTGTACTACTTCTTGATAAGACTTATACTGAAGATACTTGACTTTAGCAGTAATACCATGCAAACATTGGGGCTTACTGATGATAGCTGAGTATCCAGGAGCAATTTCATCAGTAACTGCCTCGTGAAAGAACTGATGGGTATCTGCTTGCTTAAGATGACTAAGTACTCCTTGAATTTGTGAGTAGCCTTGTACATGTTGAGATAAGAGTTTACTCCGACTGTACTCTAAAGCTCTTGTACTAGCTTGAGTTATCTGTACGGCTTGATTGATTGTTCTCAGGGCAGTATTGACCCTTTCGGTTGCAATAAGCAGTAAGTGGTACAAATAGATATCTTTAAAGGGATAGTGAAACTCAGGGGGTAAGTTATGTTTCTGAATAAATGATAAACTATCGGTCAAACAATCTAAAGTTAAACACGGAGTAAATTCTCCCCAATTAGTAAATCCACTGGGTAAAGAGTCAATCCGCAGTCTTTTTATCAAAGAAGACCCTTTCCGGCGGTAAATCCAAACTGGATACATATCTTTGATAAAAGCAGTGGCTCCTGGTCGGCCTAATAAATCACGATAAGCTATCCTATTAACCGTATAATGAAGTATTTTTGGCTCAACCTTATCTAAAACAGATAGTAGTCGTGGTTTAGGCACCCATAATGGGACATTCACTCGACGGACTACTGGGGATTGCTCTAAAACCGGATAGTGCGTATCTGGTGATCCAAAAAGAAAAGGTTGTTGCGAAGCTTTCTTAGTAGGATCATGCTCAGCACAATAAGTCAAACAATTACTAGCATCAATATAAAACCCTTCTTTGACCGCACAAGTCGCATGAAACCCTTTCCGACACCCAATATAAGCACATACAGAAAGTCCTCCTTTCTTTAAGCTACAAACTTGACAAGTATGTATATTTCTGATGACGTCATCAATATCAATTGGTTCTAAAAAAGAAAGATTCTCAAACCGAGCACCAGCCACTAACATACCACACAGTACATGGCACCAAGACCCCGTACTAGTCTTCTTAAAGGCTCCCCCTGGATTAGGACACAAAATACAGTTGATCTTCTTTTGTGGGGCTTGTAAACACGGCCGACAAAGCCAATTACCTTCAGGAATATTAGGAATACCATAACAGGCCTGATGTACTCCAATATTACACCCATCACAGAAGACTAAGAAGTTTTCATTACTTGTTTCTTGATCGGCGCAAATATTGCACTCATCAGCGATTTCTTCATTTTCCGGAATTTTAGTCGCCGCAATCCGCTGGAGATAGTGGTGTTCTTTTTCCAATCTATCTAGTACTATCTCGTAATCATCTTCACATATCCAATCATGTCTTTCTTTTAGAAATTTGAATATTTCAAGATCGATTTCATCCATGTTATATTCGATATCAAAAGGTGAGGGAAGTCTAGTAGAGGCTAATTGCTGGAGAACAAGACGAGTCTGTGTACGACGGTTCATAAAAAGTAAAAAAGTGGATTTATTTAAGCGCAGATAGTGTATAGAGGGCTTTGGCTAGTAGCATACGTATTTGGGTAGTAGTTAGACTTAGATATCTTTCTATTTCTTTTGGTTTTTGATGTTGTAATCCGAGGGCTAAGAAGATAATTTTTTGGGTTAAAGATAGTTGTTGTTTTTTGGCTAAAAGGATGTTTTTGGCTAAACCTGGCAAAAGATCAGTGATAAGACGCAAATCAAGACTGCATTTGGAAAACTGTTTCATTCGGTACAGATCTGGTTGGGGGATAGGAGAGTGTGTTTCATGGAGTGGAGTGATAAGTTGGATGGCAATGAGTGGGGAGAGAGATCGGAAACAGCCGGGAAGAAGTTCAATAAAGCGTCTGGTGAATTCACCTGAGAAATTATTAGTATAAGTATTGGCCTGGGGAGTGAATGGATGGAGCATGATCAGTGAATGCTCACCGGTTGTTTTGCAGATAGTATGTTTAAGATAAACAGGCGACATTCTTTGGCGTTTCCAGAACTCAAGGAGTTGAAGTGTGACGCCATAAGAAACACCTAAATAGTCTTGGGGAGCGAATTGTGGTGTCTGGAAAAGAACATTAGATTGAGATGAGTTGGTATTGTCATGGGTATTGTCAGGAGTGTTACTAGGGGTATTGTTATTACTGGTGCTAATGGAGTTAATTAGGGACTTAATTAGGTGGGAGCCATAGCCCATGGACTGTGCTTCGGGATGGATGGCAACACGAACGATACGCAGACCGGCGAGTTTGAAAAAGTCAAGATCAAGATAGTACTGTGAGAGAGACCAGGGAATAAGATTGCCCTCTTCCGTGCGCATTTCTTTGTAGGCTTGTTCTTGGGCGGCGGTCGTGGTGGGTGAACCTTCTTGGGCAGTTTGGAGAACACCAAGCACACAACCTTCAGCTGAAATAAGTGTAAGTAGAGTGTGCTTGGGATTATCAGCTAGAAGTTGAATATCGTTGGGACTGTTTTTGTAATGCCCGGATAGAAGAATACTGGTTAGGGAAGATAAGATCTTTTCAGTTTCTGGTTGCCCGGAGAAGAGTAGAGACTTGTTAACGGCAAAGAGTTGGCACTTCTCATGCTTAGGGAAGGTGGGCATAGCTGGTATTTCTGGAGAGAGGGAAAGGGCTAAGTTAAGCCACTTTTCAACCGGATCGTTTTTGCCGTATCTAATAGGCTCTTCTAAATGAACGGTTTCCGGCTTAATAGACTTGAAGAACTTAAGGGCCAAGGCCCGACCAGTACCTTCATACCCGGCCGTAGTGGACGAAAGAAGAGTAGGATACATTCCGATCATACTGGATAAAATAGTTAAGGGAATGGCTGCTGCTTCATCAACTACAAGCAGAGAAGGTGAATAGGCTGGTTTTGCAGGAATTGAAAACCGAACTGACTGATAGTGTGTTTTGGAAATCACAATCTTTTCAATCAATCTTTTGTTCTCCCGGGAATAGTTAACGTGATAATCTATTTGGTCTTTGTAACCATTGGCCATCAGACCTTGAATAATAAACTGGAAGAGAGTTTGGACATTAGATAAATGGGGTGAAACAACTAGTACATCGTTCATCCCTTTGATAATAGCTAGAGATACGGCTAAACCTAGAGCAGCTGATTTACCTCGACCCCGATCAGCTGTAAGGGCAAAGGTCGTACGCTGATCAAGAACTTTAGCCATCTTAAGTAGGGCTTGAATCTGATCTTGAGTTTTGCACTGGTTGATAAGAATAGACATACTATTAGCACTAATGATACTAAGTGGGTTTAAAGGATTACTTTCACTCTTAACTGTTTCTACGGCAGTACCAATGGCTTGGTGCAGTTCGTCTTGTTCCGTCTTGTTCTCTTTTTCATTGACGACTAAACTACTGGTATTACTCTGTAAGATATTCAGTTGAGGATTGATAATCAAGTAGTTGTCGGCAGTGCTTAGTAGACGGTAAACTCGTTGCATATAAATACTATCAGTGGGATCGATTGGTAGAAGAATTATACCACCGCCATTAACACTTTCTATAATACTAGCTAGTGTATTGGCTTTGATCTTAGCGAAGTCTTGCAAAACACAGAAATCAGTGGTAGTACCAAGTACACGTTCACTTTCACTGTGTAAAACATAGTTTATCGGAGTATTAACAATAAACGATGCAAAATTATCTAATGTTGTCCCGCCGGCACTTTTCCTGCATTGGGCTAAGGTGATTTTGGGTCCTTTGAAACCAAGTTCCCTATCATAAGCCCAAAGAACATTTGGTCTTATTCTTTGGCGTGAAAGAAGTGCATGAATATGATGGGCTACATCGGCGACTTTTCCGTTGATTCCAATGATGATTCGATGGTTGAGTTTAGTACTGCGTTCTAGTAACTGTAAAAGCTGTGGGCTAACTGGATGTTGACTGGCTCTTTCTTTACTGGACATGAAAACTTTGACAATCTCGTGACTAATCTTCTTTCTTGGGGTTGGTTTAGTAGTTGTATGAGTGAGTTTAGTAGTTGATTGGGTGAGTTTAGTAGTTAGATGGGTTGGTTTGGTATTATTAAGTTAGTTTGGTAGTTCGACGAGTGCGCTTGGTATTCTTGGGCTGGCTTCGTTTGGTAGTTGAATGGGTTGGTTTGGTAGTTGAACGGGTTGGTTTGGTAGTTGGATGAGTGAGTTTGGTATTATTAAGTTAGTTTGGTAGTTCGACGAGTGCGCTTGGTATTCTTGGGCTGGTTTCGTTTGGTAGTTGAATTGGTTGGTTTGGTAGTTGAACGGGTTGGTTTAGTAGTTGGATGAGTGAGTTTAGTAGTTGAACGGGTACGTCTTGGGGTGGCTTGAGATGGCTTGGGTTTGGTGGTCTTGGGTTTGGTGATCTTGGGTTTGGTGATCTTGGGTTTGGTGGTCTTGGGGGTCTTGGTGGTCTTGGGGGTCTTGGTGGTGTTGGGCGGGCATTTAGGAACAGCTTTATTGGCCTCTTTTAAACTGTATGAATCATGGAATTTGATGAATTGGGGGTTATTGATGACGCTTTGATTGTTGAGTAATATCTCGGTGAGTTGTCGATTCCACATGGATTCGAATTCAACTCTTTTCCGGGCTAGCCATTTGATGTAACATCTGTTGCTTGCTTTGATGTCGTTATTGGATGTGTTGGCGCTGATTTGTATATCATTGGGGTTGATATATAGTGTGATGGCTGCATCGATAGTCTTGTCGGGCCAACCGGTGGGATTTAAAGCTGCGATGTGAACGGGATAGTAGATGGAGCCATCAGATAGTGGCTTTAATATTTGACTGAGTATTATTTGCCATCCGGGGCAGCAGATTTCGATGTTTTTGGCCTGGATACTGGTTGGTTTGTAGTCGATCATGCATTGGCGACTGGCGAAGGGTTGATAGATAACTATTTTGTCGAGGAAATCTGGAGGCGTGTATTGGTCGTGGTCTGGCCGGCCGAGAAAGCGCATTGGTTGGATAGTAGCACTAGGGGTCAGAATTTGGAGACTATATACTTTGAGGTCGCGGTGACTGAGATGGAAAAAGTAGCCGGTTAGACTTGGCCCCGTCCATTCCATGTCAATCCCTCTGATGCGATGGCAGTAGGTTTTGCAGTCTTCGTTCTCGATTGGTTGGTATAGTGAATTGTACACCAAGACGTAAATCCCGTGAAATCGTGATTTGATGACATTAATGAAACTTAGATAGTAATAAAGTTCTCGCTGGAATACAGAGTGATCCAAAAAGATTGCTGGGATATTGACTAAGAGTAGAAAAGAAGTGTCAGGCTTGATATTGGCCAGTTGTATCTGTAAATGGGTATCTCTTTTATCTGACAAACTATTGCAATAAAGCCATTCGATTACCATTTGATAAATATAGTTGTGACTTTTGCCTGGAGGAAAGACATCTAAGAGAAGCGCTTCAAGTGGTGTTATTCGTTGGGCGGTCGCTTGGTAGATGTTGATTCGATATAAATATATGGGCAGAATGCTATTAGATGAGGCTAGACTAACTGCACGGCTGATTATACATCTGAGTTGTCCATGGGCTCCTGCCGGCGACCCATGAACTATAATCCTATCTTGTGATATATTCAGTGTGTAAGATTTCCTACGGCTATATCGGTAGACTACCACCCCCGGCTGCTTTTCTAGTCTTTGGATTCGTTGACTTTGGAGAAGATAGTATTCGATAGCAATGGGGGTGGTTTGTGGATTAGTTTCAGCTAATGAGCCGAGTTCTTGCATGTCGAGCTGATCTAGGATGATAGCACTATCGTCCTGGAATTCGCAGGGTGTTTCGCTCAAATACGTGCACCATTCTTTGATGGAGAGCCCGATCTGGATCTCATCCTGATTAACGTTAAGGTTGTTGCTCGAGCATTTAATAAAGATGATAGGGCAGATTGCTACAAACCATAGTCCATACAGCTTATATATTTTCATAACACCTACTAAGGTTTTATCTTTATGTAGTGCTATCATACGACCACTACTTAATTCCCCAGATCAACCTGATTCCTGGCAGGCCACTTACTAACAGCTATCTATTGATATTACTACCAAGACATAACTTTAATATAAACAACCCAAATTAGGCAATTTTAATTTTGCATATCTATCTGCTTTGCGATATGACGTCATCCTATCTCAACTAACCCAGATTTACTTGATAAACAACACCGGCACTCATCTCAAGGGATCCTTTAATAGAGTATGTATTGATTAAGATGGACATTCCTTATTGGGCATTATAGTTATCTATCATAGGTTCTTAAGCCGTTGTTACCATATAAAGATTCGTATGTTCATTCTTTAAGATGTTTTTGCTTTTATCTCGGCAATACTATATCAAAAATGACTCTGCTCTTCTTTAAAATCAAAGGTATTATGATCATAGCCGTCTGAGGTTGCCACTTCTAGCAGAGACGCTAAAACAGTGTGTTCCAACTTAAAGCATTAAGACATATAATTAAGCTGGTATAAATACATCTAGTGAGTGTGATGCCACGACACCAGTTCAATTCAGAATGGATCCAGCTAGTTAAGGAAGGTACTAGATCAAGAAACAGAATATTAAAGTGCAGTGCCTAATAAGGATTGTCCATTTTGACTAAGACATACTCTATTAAAAGACCCGTTGCGATGAGTACAGGTATCGTTTATTAAGTAAATATGGTGTCGTTACACAACCACTACTCCTCCCTCACACCAAATCGTTAATTCATTATCCGATCGCACCCGTATTGGGTTAGTAGAGAATTCGAATCATATCAAATTCTAGCCCAGTAGTAGCTGGATTAGTATTGGGCTAGTATGACGTCATATCATCGTCTACTTTCAATAAATGACCGGCTACGTCGTATCTAGGCATGACACTGCTGGAATTTGTATTAGTCATATGAACTATTCCTGCCCATGGGCAATATAGTAAATCTGGGTTAGTAGAGATAGGATGACGTCATATCGCAATGCAGATGATATGCAAAATTAAAATTGCCTAATTTGGGTTGTTTATATTAAAGTTATGTCTTGGTAGTAATATCAATAGATAGCTGTTAGTAAGTGGCTTGCCAGGAATCAGGTTGATCTGGGGAATTGAGTAGTGGTCGTATGATAGCACTGCAATACTACACAATCGGCGTACCCAAAAACTTACCAGATAAGCTTATAAGATCTTATAGATATTTGGATGGGCTGGAAGTCTTCATTAGTCGCTGGCAAACACAAAACCCTAGAAGAGTTTATGCCCGGCCTTGGATTAGTGTATCCATATGTGACGATATAATGTATTGGATTAGTATTGCGTGGTCAGTTAATAAACTTGCTAATAATAACATGCTGTTTATTGAGAAGAAATCATGCTGCAAAAGGAAGACCTAAACCTAACAGACTCTTGTTTATTCTCCTTGATTCAGTCTAACAAGAATCATTCATATTCATTTATGGCATTAGCAACAAAGCAAGGGCCCCAAGTAATTAGTCCACCTTCTTATCTACTCTTTTGAACGATCAGTTTTCATTTAGATAAATTTACTTTAGTTTTGAAAAGGATGTCTTATCTTGAAGTAGATAGAGGCGTGAATACAAATAGGATTTATCGTGTTCAAATGATTAGGTATAGAATCGTATCTGTGCTGTGCTTTTTATTGGTAGTGTTAGGTAGTGTTAGATGCTGGAGTAGTGATGATACGAGTAGTAGTGGGAGTGGTGATAGTGACTTTTCTGAACAGGAAGCAATAGCTCTGGAGGGTTGGGAAGCATCATCTAAGGTGGCTAAAGATCTAACTGCAATTGGATTTTCGGTTCATCCTAAGAAGTGCCTCGTCTATGTTAAGAAGCACATGACTGAAGAAGTAACAGCGCCTGTCTCGGACTCGACCGTAGCTTTAAGTCCAACCAACTCCACCGAAAACATTGACAAGTATATGGTGTTGTGGCCCGAGCCAGAGCTACAATTCACGATATCTAATGACAGCGACCTAGAAAAACTACGCACGGTTTTGAATGATATTACTGTTCTCAAGTCCACTAAGGCCGTGTTTGTTTATAACCTAGAGTATTCAGAGAAGTGTAAAGACAAATTAAAAGTGATATCTCAAGTCATCAACATGCTAAAGTGTGAGGCGCTGGAGCTTAGAATAGAGCATTATGATTCTGCACTAGTCCGCCGCATGAAGTCGGTTGGCTTATATCCTGAGTTGACCGAACTACAAGAAACGATCAAGTATGCTGGTTCGAATTCAGAGCGCCATCTCACAATTAACGCCTATTGTTTAAAACCAACTATGCTAGATTTTAGTCCCTTGGGCATACCGCAGTTAGACCTAGCTTCCAAACTCACTCTGGTGGCAACACTATTCATAAACCGAAATTCTATTCCGACCCATTTCATAGCACCCGACCCATCTAGCCATGAAGCTGACGCTGAGGCCGGCATCAATATTAATTTCACAGCTCTCCACAATCAAGAAATCCAATGCCAAAAGATTGTTCTTATTAATGAATTGGACGACTTAACATTAACTGGTCTTGAGAATGCTACTCAAGACATTCATTCCAAAATAGTTCTAGAACTGTGTTGGGACACTCTTCTCTGTCTTATTAAGCTTAATAATCCTGCCATTAATGTTCATACTATTATAGCTATTGGTCCTAAGTCTACTAAGAACCTATTCCCGTCAGAGCTTCTTCAACTGAAACCACCTTCTACTCCCCAACTCATTGCCGCCAAAATATCTATCAGAATATCTACCCAGAAATGTTGGTGTCTCAAGGACACATATGACAAATATTACACCCCCGAAGTATACGCCAAATATGGTATCTCTGTTGGCGAAAGCACAATTGAGTATGAGAAAAGACAAAATGGCTTGTTACATACGTTAAGGACCCTTGAAAAGAATCTATATGTGGATTGTAAGAAGTCGATAAAATATGCCCAGAGTTGTGGGATCAAATGCCCTGCTGAAGATCGCAGCAATAACAATTTGGAGCTTCAAGAACCAGTTGATATCAACCTTAAGAATTTATATTGTTTGTTTTGCAATCTTGATGATGATGATTGTGGTTCTGATTGTTATCATTTTGTTGACATCCAGCCAGATATTATTTTCTGTCAGAATATACACTATACAGACATCAACATTAACGGCTGTGACAGATATAACGATAGCGAGGCCTGCCAAACCCTTTTAAGCCTATTCGTCAATATTACCGCTCACACACTTAGAATCTCGAATATTTATTGTTATACAGTCCACACCTTTAATCTATCTAAGATAGAAGGAGCTAACTCACTCCCTGAAATCTTCCGACGCCGCCTTAATCTCAAGGTCTTGATACTAGACAAAGTTGATGATGACCTTGTTTACTGGATACTAAACAACTACATATTTGCCGATTCTATGGAAGTGCATATGCTGAACCAAAGCTACAAGAACCTTAATATTGCCCGAATTCTCTCCTACCCTAAATACCAGAAGATCTCTAAACTTGTGCTAAATGGCTTTGTTGGCTTAGATGAGGTGAAGTTATATAAGGAGTATAAGAAAGAAGATAGACTCATTGAGCTCCCATTATTTAACTACATCGAAACAATGAAAGCCAAAGACAAAACCACCTCGGATCTTGGTCTTAACAAATTGACTCTGCAACTGGAAGGTCTTGATTGCAATAAGTATACTGAAATCTTAGCTGAGTTTAAGAATATTGGTATTCAATGCGAGGAGGTTCCTTTAGCGGTTATTGTTGATCGTCAAATAGCGAAGTACAACTCTTGTATAAGAACGGATACTCAATATGCATTGAGGAAGCTCGGCCCAGGATTGGATAGGAAGCTGGTACTCAGAAACATTAATCTACAAGAATTAGAAGCGGATCTTGCCAGTCGGTGCGCCGTGTCTAGATCACAACGAGGCCCAGACCAAGAACAAGAGTCTCCTATCCAGAAACTTTCCATTGATAAATTATCGTTATATTTCAGTGAGGAGCAGGTCATAACTGAGAATGACTTAGTGAAGATTCTCGATTGGATTGCTTGCCAATTTACAGATCTAGAAAGGTTGCATTTCTACGATCTTAAGGTTTCGAAGGATGAGAAAAGGGATATATTAACCAGCAATTACTATATCATTGGGATAAATGTCTTCATTTGCT